GATTTATTCCTGAAGCTATGATGATTATGGAACTTCTTATCAGTGAAAATTTACATCACTTGAATGGTGTGTGGGGTTACTGAAAGGGAGTCTTAATGCAAGGTCCTTAGGTCCCTACGGTCATGCTCCAGAGAGTATTTAAGACTCTCTTTCCTGGACACAAAGTGAGCAGTTCTGTTCTGTCACACATGCCTGCTGTGATGTGCTGCTCTCCTGCTGGTCCAACGCAATGGAACCAATCAGTCATGAACTTGACACCACAAAACTTTTAGCCAAAGTAAACCTTTTGCCTTTATAAGTTAATAATGTCAGATATTTTGTGATAGTTATGGGAAGCTGATGTATACACCTTCTAAGCTTTAGAAATACTTTCAATAATGGTTTTGTTGGCAGGATTGCATGACAGTTGAATCTAAGGACAGCTAGCGAGGTGTTACCTCTTAGATATGAGACATGATTGAAAAATATGGTGAAGTTTAAATTTGTAAAAATTCATTACACTAAAAGATACACTGCCACTAATGTCTTGAGTCAATTCAAAATGTTTACCTTTTTCACTGTCACTTTGACTTTGGCAAAGAATGAGAAGTCACATGGTGCCCAGTCTGGTGGGAAAGGAGGAGGAGGACGCACTGTAACATTACTGAAAGGCTGCCTTTCCACTGGATGGCACTTAACAGCAGCATTCATTATATTTTTGATCATATTCTATGAAGACACTCATAAAAGAAGCCTTTCAGAACTGCTAAAGAAAGATGCAAGAATGATGAGAAAAGTGTATTTGAATTAAGGGGGATATTTTTGAGAAGATTAATGGTAAAGTGTTTTTCACTATAATAAATTAAAAATTTTTAAACATGCTGTATATTTTGATTGTATCTTGTACATCAGATTTATGGGGAAGTAATGTGAACTCTCCACTCTTCATTTTCCTCATCTGTAAAATGGGAGTATTTACAGTGGAGACGTGTGCAAGGAGTTTGTGACAACAGAGAAAATACTCTCTGAGGTCAGCTTCCCAGAGTTAAAGCCTTATTATGCCACTAGGCAGTGTTAGGATTGTGGGCAAGGGCACTGACCTTTTGGAGCCTTGGATCACTTGTACAGAACTAACTAAAGTACCTATTCAGGAGGGTTGTTAGGAGAATCAAATAAGTTACAGACACAAAGTGTTCAAAGTAGCACCTGGCATTCAGAGTGTTCGCTGGTGTTATTATCTCACAGTGCTACTGTGAGGCTTTGAAGCACTTATTTAAAGCACAGGGAATGCACAGAGTAAATGCTCAAGCAATGGTAGATATTGTCCCCTCTGTGACTGGCATCCCCCCACCCCACTTTCTTTAGATAACAGAATTACCCTGCCCTGTGGGGAACCCTATCCCCAAACAAACAGGATGAACACAAGACCCAGACTTGTTCAATCACAGGATCCTGTCACAGTGGCCACGGTCAGGTGCTCAAATAGGAGTCTGCGATCATACTAAGTAATCAGGGTCCACCCTCAGCTCTTTTCTGTCAGACAGGTGACAGAATCACTCTCCATTGGAGTTGCAAAACTGTAAGTTGGAAGTCATCTTGTGTGGCTGGCTGGCCACCATGGCCTCTGTTCCAAGAGGGAGGGGGTAAGATGAAGTCCTAATGACATCACCGAGCCCTCTCTTCCAGGTGTTCCTGAAGCTGTGGTTACCACTGGATTTCTAAATTACAGGAACTAATACCATTCCTCCTTGAGTTAAATCTTAGTAGCAGGCCTGGCAAGTAATTTTCAGTGTTATGACCTAGCCTAGATTCTCAATAAATATCACTTCCCTTTCCTGTCACTACTCTAAACATCTCTTTGTATACCACCAATCCTTTCCAAAAGTATTATGTGAACAAACACTATTCAGCAGTTTTTGTGTATATGCCTAATAAAAAGAAAAGAAAAGTGATGTCCAGAATGATTGCTTATCCTGCAGGACTCCCTAGAGAGCTGTCAGCTACACAGAGTCCCATTGAGCCTTTCCTGAGATACAGCTCACTGTGTCTACTGAAATGCAGTGCTCTTTTAAAACAGAGCTACTGGCATATGTATACACACTCATGATTGCACATTTATTGATTTCTAATTTGTACCCTGCTTACTTTCAAAAAGGCCCTGGAGTGGCTGACAAAATAAGACAAAGACATAATAGGGCCATTAAGAAAAATCAAAGATCAAGCCCAAAGAGAAAAAGCAATTGCAGATTATAGCTCAAACCTGGGTTAATATAGTTGCTTCAATAAAAAAAATTATATTTAGCTTGCAGCTTTCTGGCAGCCATTCAGAATTTGTCATGCTAGGACATGAGGAGAATTGGGCATCCTTCTTGTCAACAGCTCTTACCCACACAGAAGCCAAACTAGAGCAGAGAGCCTACTGGATGAATGAATGAGTGGATGAATCAGTGAGCGAGTATATGAATGAATGAATGGTGGACAGAAGAATCAAGTCTCTCTGAAAGTGCTGATTATGTCTTTGGGCCTAATTCATTCATGTATTCATGCTCATCCAACTATTATTGGCTGAATGTCTATAAGTATCAGTCCCTGTATCTGACCATGGATCCAGAGAGAGATACAAAAATGAGTTGAATATCATTCTTGCCTTCTCAACTACAGAGCTCTGTTTTGCAGCTAAAGCTTTGTGTAATTTGTCTCAATGTTCATTACTACTCTTAGTCTTCTCAGGGCTCCCACAGAAAGGAGACCAGAAATTGAGCTCACAAAGATGGAGATTATACGAACAGCAATAGTTATCTTTGCCCTTCCACTTACATGGCACTTTAAGCCTAGAAGACACACAGTTTCCCCAGTATTTCATTTAATACTCCAAGCTCCTTTGCAAGGAAAGGAGAAAAAAGAGAAGGCATCTCTTTGTACTGATGAGGACATTTGGGCACTGAAGGGAAAGTTCCTCTCCCTTAGAACAGAAGCCGTGGGTTTCCATACCCCAGTTCTGGCCCCTAGCATCTCAGAGGCCTGTTAACACTACCTGAAAATCTTCCTTTTCCTGAATCAAGACCAGGCTTGCCAAACTAGGCAACACCTAATAGTCATACGGAGGATTGTATGGGCAAAAATCAACCCACTGGACTCCCTGCAACAGTTGGAATACTCAGAACCCTCCCACTCAAACTCATCCAACAGCTCCTGCCCTTCCAGTATCCTCCCTCTGCTTAGAAATGGATGCTCAGATTCAGACTAATAGTATACAGTTTCTGGATCTCAGTTAAGCACCAGTTGAAAAGCCACAATGCAGTGCTAGGTGGAGAGATGGCTACTTAGTAAGCCTTTGAAGGGAAGAGCTGGACATCAGTCCTCTCAATCTGTGAACTCCACATCCATAGATTCAACCAACCACAAATGACAAGTATTCAGAAAGAAACGCATCTTTATCAAACATGTATAGACAATTTTTCTTGCCATTATCTCTAAGCGACACAGTATACAACTATTTACTTAGCACTTGTGCTGCATCAGGTATCATAAATAAACTTGAGCTGATTTAAAGAATACAAGCAGACGTATGTAGATTTTGTGAAAACTCTGTATGAAGGATATGAGTATCTGTGGATTTTGTTATCCATAAGGGACATGGAAACAATTCCCTGTGGATGCCTAAGGAAAAGTATAGAGGAAGGGGAAGACAAGGATGGTTTCTGGTATATCCATCTGGGACGACATTTATAGTTCTGCTAGACACTTGAGCTGCTAAAGTGCACTTCGTTGACCATCCAGGTGGATGCAGACTGGGCCCGTATCCTTTCAGATTGTTAACAAAGTCAACCAGGTGAACCAAACAAGGTGAGACCTTGACAAAATACAAGAGGCAGGCAAGACCAGTGGTCCACTGAAACACCAGCCAGCCCTGATCTATTCTTGTTTTAATAAAATGCTCCTTAAAAATACATTCATGAACACAGTCCGTGTGTGTGTGTGTGTGTGTGTGTGTGTGTGTGTGTGTGTGTGCGTGAGAGAGAGAGAGACAGAGAGAGAGAGTGTATTTCTAATGCAAAGTTCATTCTTAAGTATATATGTTGACATGTATTTCACATTTTCCAGTTTATTCCAGAGCCTGTACACATTGTTTGATGGCACAAGTAGGTATTAAACATAGTCATTGGGAAGGAGAATGGTGATCACAACATGAACACTTTCCCAATAATGTTAGAGTTTTCCATGCAAGACTAACAAACTCACTGCCTGACTTCTAAGCAGTCAAATACTGTCAGTCCATTCAGAAAGTCAGGCTCAGACAACCTAGTTTACCCCATAATCTCCAGTCACTGCCAGGGAGGATTTCAGATTCAATACAATGGAGCAATTCACTTTCAATAATTCACTGACAAGACATAAATCATAGACTCAGTGACAACCTGCATCTCTAGCTCTCAACTTTTTAAATCTCTGAGTGAGTAAAAGCTAAGTTATCCCCATCTCTTTCCTATTCATGTTCTGGACCACTCTGGAAGGTAGATCCAAAATTCAGGTGTTTCTTCCTTTTCCCACCAATTCATAGACCTCAGGACTCAGAGTTCTTGGTCTGGCACTGATGGGAAGCAAGGAAGGGACACGAATCTGTTCTAGCCAGCAAGACATTGAGGTTGAAATGCTTAATCCAAACCATACTCTCTGAGACCACAGGGAGTCTCATGCAAATAAATTCACCCCAAAACACCCCTCAGGGACTTTCCCTGATGTAAATTCAGATTCAAATTAAATGGAGGAGTTTCCTCCCCGAAAGAACATTCACTTCACATGTCAGTAGTCTTCAATGGCCACGTAATGCCACCGATCTCTGGATAAAGGAATAAGAAATCAGGCCTGGAGATTTATGGGAGACACACCATTTCCATGACCTGCTCCAAGTTTCCGTGCTGGGGCCTGCCAGACTCCATACAGCGTGGGGCACCACACTAAGGGAAACATGTTCTCGTCACTAAGGCGCAAGGTAGAGAATACAAGTCAGCTTTACTCACAGTCTGGTAAGCTTCGGTGTGCTCTGGAAAAGCAATTCTGGAAGGACCTGGAGCTTATTTTTGTTCAGACGCCTACAGAAAAAAAGAAGAAGGGAAAGATGTTGTTGAGTCAGGTATATTCATAGATCCTGCTTCAACCAATCCATCCATCAGCAGATATTAGAGAGACTCGGTATTTCAGTGTGGGATGTCCAACATGTGTAAAGCATATACCATTTTGGCAGAGCTTGTAGACAAGCTAACGATATACAGTTAAGGTCAGCCATAGACATAAGCAAGCATTTGCCGTGTTTTCCCTCCTGTGGTAGGAGTTTACTACAGACATCACACATGGATTACAACTGATCACAGAACTCTTTCCCATGGACCTCAGACAAGACAAATAAAGAAGAGGCCAAGGCTGATGACCATGGGCTGAGAGACCAGTGAGCCTGCCTTGCTGGATCACTGGACCATATCAGAGCTGCATTTTGACCTCCATGGGCCTTTGACCTTTCAATCTTTGCAGCCTGCTTTGCCATAAGAAACAGATTACATTTTACACCTGTGTTGGGATAAAAAGAGATGCATTTATATTACACAATATTTATTTCCACCTAACAGTTTTCTAATTTTCAAAGAAAAGTTATTACGGACCCTGACAATATTGTAGGATATTATGTTCTGGATTTGGAACGTCCCCCCAAAACCTCATGTGTTCAGAGACTGGACTTTTGAAAGGTGGTTGGATCGTACAGTGGAGGCACTGTATTCATCAGTGGATTCACCCGCTAATAAGTTCAGCAGTTGATTGTACTGTTAGGAGGCGGGGCCTGGGTAGCAGGAGGTCACTGAACGTGACCTAGAATAGTGCATCTTCCTCCCTGGTGCCTCCTCTTTCCCTTTACTTCTGGACCACAGCGCTCTGTCCACCTTTCCTTCCACTCTGCCATTTCTGCACTTGAGCCTGCCCCAATGGACCAAAACTGCTGAAACTGTGAGCCTAATGAGCACTTTCTCCTCTAAGTCGCGGTGTTAGATATTTTGTCCCAGCAATGAGGAAAATAAGAAAAGCCTGGACTTCAGCATTATCTCTTTGTGCCTGATGAAGAAATCCATCCTGCATCAGGAACCAAAGTCTAGGCATACAGTATGGCTTAATGTACAACTCAGTCCAGTAGGAATGGCTTTTATTGGATGATGGTCAACAGAACAATCCAAGTCTCTTTTTGAAGATGATCAATGCAACTTGTCCACAGAGAAGGCCATCTCAGTGATCTTCATGAAGGCTGTTTTCTTGGAGGAATTAAGAGAGAAAGATTCTCCTCCTTGCTAGCTCCATGTCATTCTGTTCTAGCATCTATTCACAGCCTAATCAGTGAAAGCAATTCTCCCTTTTCACACGAATCCCAAACCACCATTTAAACATATACCTTACAGACCCTAGAACCCTCCAATGTCAATTTTAGTATAAATGCTGCTGAAGCAAGTATGCCTCTAGTGCCGAAGAGCAGTGTAGCGTGGGTGAATTTGTCCCGAGGCCCATACTGTCTTTCCCCCGGCATTCACTCAGCAGGCATGATTCCCACATGTTGCTCCTCTTCCAGCTCTTTTGTCCCTTCTGTCAGTGAACAGAAACCTCAGCATGATGAGGGAACCACAGGAAACCAGGAAGGGCCCGATCTGGGAGAGAGGAACGTTTAAGACACTGTCTAACAAGCACCCTTTCAAAAAGGGGACAGCATGGACCGGCAGAGCTCAAGCAGTGTAGAATGGAAGGCTGAGATGGGAATGCTGTCTGGCAAGCTTCTGAGTAGGAGGAGGCAAGGAAGAAAGATTCCAAAGCCTGGAGGGACAATCTCTAATTCCTTGCTCAGCTCTAAGGGGGAACTGACTCGTGTATTAGTACTTTTTTATGATTTTAGAATTTTAAAAAAATTATAATAAAATTGTGTAATATAAGATTCATCATCTCCACAATTTGTAACTGCGCAGTTCAATAATGTGGAGCAGGTTTACCTGGTTGTACAATTATCTCCAGGACTTTTTCATCGTGTAAAACTGTAATTCCATACTCCTTAAATTACAGTTCTCTACCTCCTTTTACAGCTTTCTCCACGAATTTGCTTGCTGCTGTTTTGACCATTACTGGTGTCCTCTGTCCATTTGCTAATGTCACAGAAAGGGAAACCAGAGAGCAAGAAGGGGAACCCAGCTTCTGGTTTAGTACAGTCCTCGTGTGGTCAATGCTAAGTCCTCTGTAACAGATGGAAACCACTGGTCCTAGGAAAGGTGAGATGTTTTGGTGTTAGCCAGATCTGGGTTCAGGTCTAGCTGTATAGTGTTCTTATTGGGCAACCTTGAACCTAACCCGTTTACCTAACCCATTGAGTCTCAATTTTTCAATTGCAAAGTAACCCTACTTCTTTAGTTTACAGTGTTTTTCAAATGGCCCAGTGCATGTACAAGTGTTTAGCACTACAGTAGGAGCCTAGAAATAATAACTAAGAATAGTGATGACTGAGTCCTACCTAGATGTCAAACACTGTACTATATGCTGTCCCAGCAGGCCCTGAACTGCAGTGGAGCCTGCGACTGGTATTGTTATAATTCCTGTCTCTTACATAAGAAATTCAAAGCCCAGGGAAGTCAAACACATTTCTGAGGCCGCAGTGTTAGCAGCCAGTAGCTGGAGGATTCAGACACAGTCAGCCGGGCTCCAAAGCCTTGGTTCTGAAACATCCTAGAATTCAAAATCTTCAATAAATGAAGCTCCCTGCCCTTTTCCATTTCCACATCTTTCTCTGCTTCTTTTCATCCAGAAATGCCAACTCCTCCAACCTGACCCAGACAATGACCCATCTTATGTACACTGCCCTCCCTGTAGAGCACTCTCTTGGAGGTCCCAAGACAAAACTGTTTCTATATGGGCTTGTCTGGAACCACCCTCTATTGTCACTGCTGTATAAAGCCTGGTAAGAGTTACACTGAGAGACACAATGCTCCAGTCTAGGCAAAACTTCTAAAATCTGGCCTACCACTGTCTGAAGTGTATAGCATGGTTAGTATGCTAAAAGCCCTAAACCAAAGTTAAAGCTAAAAATAAAACAAATTTGGCTCTGAGGCTCCTGGAAGGGAAGGAATCATTTTCATTTCTTTGCTGGTATTTATGGCTGAACAAAAATAAAAAATGCAACCAAATTTAGCCAACAGTGAACTGCTTGTTGCTTCATAAACCCTAAATGAGGATTTGGGGTAGTTAGGGTGAGGTCCAGTTCTAAAAGCTGTGGGGTCTTTCCACTTCAGCTTGGGCAGGTCACATACTGGTTCTCCACATCAGGAGTTTGATACTCTAATTTAAGATCTCTCCAGCATTTATTCTTGTTGATTAAGTGAACAGGCAGAGTCTGGAAAGTGTTCCCTGAAAAGTCACTACAGGATCTACCATGCATAAGGTGCATTCCCACGTGACTGCAATAAATGCAGCTTGTAAACAGGAAAATGAATGAAATTCAGTGTGCTGTTCTCCTGTGAGAAGAGCAGGTAAGCACTGAGCTGCAGATGGTCTCTAGTGGCCATGGGCACTCATGCCACCTGCTGCTATATTGCCCTGGGTCCACAGGAAGAAATCTCTAGCCATAGTTCAATCTGGTAAATAGGACTTAATGGGACGATATGATGACACAACTAAAGAGGCCATTACCCAGGACATGGGCCAGGTCAACCACAAGATAAAGCCTACCCAGGGGCCTCTTTTCCTTTAAATCAAAAGTACTTCTTAATGTTACCACTAGCACAGTGGAGAACATCAAAGCCAAAACTTCACTGACTGGTGAGTTGCAAAGTCATATTCACTTTTTTAGCTTAAACTGTGAAGCTCTAAGAAACAGAGCCATGTTTTTGTGGAACAAAGACCTTTCTGATATACACAGTATACAAGACATAATTAGAAGTTTTTGATTCTTTGTTAAATTCACTCATTTAGCCAACCTTTCTACCAACCATCCAATATCCATTTATCTATCCATTCAACACTCTGTCCCTCTAGCTATTCATATATCCATTCATCTAGCTACCATCTATCCATCATCTATCCACCCGTCCATCTATCCATCTCTACACTCATTTATTCATCCTGCTCATCGCCATTTAGCCATCCATCCTTTCATCTCTCCACTTCTGCTTAAATAAGAACATACAAAGATAGATAAGAGGCATCCCCTTCCTATAAGAAGGTCATATGCTAGTAGGGGATATAGATGTGAACACAAAAACTGTACCATGGTTTTGTAAACAAAAGTATTGTGGGATTATAGAGGAGCAGATACCCTGCTCGAAAGAGAGGTTTAAATCTACTTTTGGAGGATGACTGTGATTCTTCAGCAGACATGGACAGTGAGCTCCAGACTTACAGCAGGCCTCCCAGGGTTAGCTAGGTGACTGAAGAGCAGGCTTTATCACTGGAGCATGGAAATAACTTGAGATCAAAAGTGGTGCAGTTGAACAAGGAGACAGAGGCTGTATCATGAGGGCCTCGTGGATCACAATAAAGGATTTAGGCTTGGCTTTTTTATGGAGTGCAACATGGAAAGAGTCTGAGGAGGGAGTGATCATCTGGTTTGAATTTGAGAAAGTTCTCTCCAGTAACAATAGATTTGGTTTGGAAGAAGGTAAAATTGGAAGCAAAGAGACGAGTTAAGAGGGCTCTCGAGTAATCAGTGTGGCTCTGTGAGGACTTAGCTGAGGTCGCCAGTGGTAATGGAGTGTAGGAGATAGATGTGAGGTATAATAAGCAAGGTTCTACGAATGAATGCATCTGAGGGTTGAGGGAATTGCAGGAGTAGGCATATTAAAAAATATCTCCTAGGTTCCAGCTTGGTTAACTGATCATTTGAGGTAACTGACCATCAAGAAATAGAGAAGGGAGGAATACCATGCAGAAGTGGATGTGTTTGATTCAGAATTTTTGTACCACTGAGGTCTCTCACATAGGCTGTGACAGCAACAGCTGGTATAATGCTAAAAGCATGAGTCAAATCCTGCATGAAGCACTCTGCATGCCTCACTGATTCCCCAGAGATATGAACCAGTAT